GACCGAGACACAGCAATAGCCATCTCCCTCGCATGAGTTTCTTTGAGTTGAGTCACCTCAACCTCTGCCTTTTTCATTTGAGCCTGTGTTTTTCCAATGCGTTACATACAAGGAAATTCTGAAAAGCAACAGGAAATACCTCAAGAGCGTGCTGATGAGCCATTACTAAAGCATTTTGTTGCTGAACGACTACAACTCGTGTTTCATCCTGCTCACGCCTGAACCTTCTGCGCTCCTCTTCAAACTCAGCCTCAGCCTCCTCTATTTGCTTCTGATATTTCTCAGCTGCCACTCGAATCTCTTGTGCCTGTCATGCAGATTAAGTGTTTCTAGAGTATAAATTGAAAATGATTTACCTTAGTTTCCTCAAACGCGTTTTTAAGAGCGTCACGCTCCATCTGCAGAATTTGCAAAATTACTAAACAAGCAAAGAAGAAAAAAAAAACACAGGCCCAACCTGATGGTTATGGAGAGCAACTTCTATAGCGATAGCATGCATCTCGTTCAACTTCTGAATTGCGCATTCAGCTCGCTCATATTCGTCTTCCACGTTCTGATGGAATTCCTTCTCCTTCCTACAGTGATGACAACTACGACTATGAACGCGTCCTTGTCTTTTGTTTACTGTTCAAGCTTGGCCAAATAGCTTTGCAAAGCCGCCGCTTCGGCATTCTTCTCCGCAAGTTTCGCATCCTCAACTTCTCGGTTTAATGATTCGATGTCAGCAACCTTTTGCCTTTCTCTCGAACGAAGCTGAAAACTACCAACTGATTCAGATCAAATAAACACGAGACAATCTTCTTACCTCTTGAGCCAGCAACTCCAGTGACTCTTCCAGCTGTGTACCCTTTCGTTGAGACTCTTGAAGTTTTCGTTCGAAATTTAAGCACACCTTCACATCAGAACATAAAGCTCAAATCGTCGACCAGTTTCAGCGTACCAGTTTAAAATTGTCTTCACGATCTGTTACTTGGGAGTTTAGAGACTTAAGCTCATGTTCACCATGTACTTTCAACGTCTCAATTTCAGCCTCGAGGTGATCAACCTTTCACACACGACACTACAATTGATATCAAAACATATGTTTCATTTGCTTACCCTTTTCTGATAAATATTTAAATGAGTCAGGTGTTTCAGTTGTTGCTCCTTCAGCTTAGACTGCAATCCCTTGACTTCTTTCCGGTGCTTCTCTCGCCGAAGTTCTCTCTGTAGAACACAAGAAGGAACAGTAATATAAATAAACAAGAAAGAAGAAAAGTACTACCGTTCGCGAAAAGTCTTCCTCCGTGTTTTTCAGTTTCAACTCATGTTCGGCCACGCCAATTTTAAGCTTGACCTCCAGCCGTTGAATATAGTCTTCTTTCTAAAACACACGAATCAAATAAGAAAGTTTGGACTGTTGATTATACTTCTGAAAGGCTTGAACGCAGCTGGGACGCTTCTTCACCAATTCCTCTCTTCACAGAATCTAGCTCTTGAATCTCGTCGTCCTTAACTGCTATGTTATATCGTTCTTTCTCGAGCTGTTGAGACAAAGTTCAATAACAACCCAAACACTTTCAGCAAACCTCTGCCAATGCAACGTCCAGCTCTCTCTGGGTCTTTGTTAAGGACGAGTGCAGTTGTTCAATCTGAAAAAATCAACGTTAGTTTGAAATTTTCTTCAACATAAAACCCATGCAATCCCCAACCTTGCAGTTATCATTATTGATAATGTCCTCTTTCTTCTTACTGCTGCTAGTCATCTTATCTAACTCGTACTTTAATCTTCGGATTGTATCTTCCTGCCAAAACAAAACAAGATTTATCGAAAATTAGAAAAACGAAGTACTACCAGTTCAGCCAAGCTTGTCGCAGATGCATTCTTCTCAACACTGTAGAAGGCCACTCGGAAGAAAGAAAAAAATTATACCGGACAAACAGAGCCAGGAGTTTACTCTGCATGCTCGGACAACTTGTACATATCTGCAAGGGCACCTTTCAATCGCTCCTCCTGATATGGTGATCAACATGAAGCAATTGTAAATGTAAATAATTGGGACGTCAAAACGAGTAGCACCAAATGCCTGTTGTCTTCCTTCAGGACTTGGATGTCGTCTTCCAAACTAGACCTCGTCTGCAATCCTTTACGTGGCAAGATCATACAAGAGCGTAAGAACGATAAAGTAGGAAACCAAAGCAAGAGAACAAGCAAACCACCTGGAGATGCTCCGCATGAGCGTTCTCAATCAAGGAATTGGCCTCTCTGAGGCTTCCTTTCAGCATGGCCGTCTCTTTTGCTAGAGCTTCCCTTTCCTTGTAAACAACAGTCAGCCTGTTCTGAATGGCTAGTTTCTGAAAAACAAAAAGCCAGTGATAGGTGAAACTGGACCAGATCATTAAATTCTTACTTCGGTAGTCAAGTCGTATTGCAATGCATGATAGTTTTGTTGAAGCGTAGACACCTTCTCTTCGTTCTCTACCTGCAAAAGTATAAAATTTTACAAATCGAATCAACTGACGAGCTTACCTTCAGCCGACTGATCTCGTCTTTGTAATAAGCTCGAAGTTGCTGAGAAAATAATCAAACCGAACGTAATACGAACCAAAACACGTGATTAAGCTCTCACATCCATCAGGTCTTCGTGTGAAGCCTCTTGCTTCATTTGCTCTTCCTCTTGACGTTCAATCCGGGCCCGAAGTTCAGCCTCGTGCTTTTGCAAAAGAGCCTCTACCTCGCTCTTTCTTTCAATCCGTTCCTTTCCAATCTGGCCGGTGAAAATCAAACAAAGACCGGCATGAAGTTGTCGTTCGTACTTAGCAACCTTACCTCTTTTTCGTGCAAACGCTTTGCTTCTTCAAGCTCCTGAAAGCGAGCATTTAGCCAAATGAGAGCAATAAAAGAATCTTACACACATCCGAAAGACGGCTGATTGTTTCTAGCGTTGTCTGGAGCTCAGTAGTCGCTTTATCCAGCGTCTCCCTCGTTAAAGCCATATTCCTGTTGCTCTAGAGCACCACATTCCTAGTAAGCATTCCTCCTCCTAGTTGCAAAGTGAAAATCATACCCCTCAACAAGCTCCATCTTTTGGTTGTGAGTCGCCTCCAATGCTTCTTGCCGCTCTTGAGATGTCTATTGAAGAAGAAGAAAAAAAGAATGAAAACCAAAAAATGGAAGGAACGAAGTTCTTACCTTCTTATAAGCATTGAGCTCATTCTCGGCCTCGAATCGCACAGCCTGCGTTTTATTTTTCTTACTTTCGTGTATAAGCCTCGGACAGGAAGACACGACAGACCGACGAAACCAAGGCTCTACCTCGGCCGCGGCTTTGATGTGATCTCCCTCGACGCG